GCTGAGTGTAGCTGTCGAATAGTATCATGTAGTCGATTGAGTTGAAGGACCATCAGCCGGTTGATCTGAATGTTTGTATCTCGCAGTTGTGAAATGATCTGGGCATCCAAGGCAACGAGGGCTGTCCCAACAGGATCTGAATCCATCGCGATGTCGTCGTCGAGAAAAAACTGTACAAGAAAGAAAGGCTGAGCTAAGTTGAACTAGCCGAGCTGCAAATACATCAAAATGGAGACGTAAACGCGGTCAAAATCACCCAAAAGAAAAACTTGGAAACGATAGTTCATCCGGTTCAACAATAGGGAGACCATTCGATAGTGATTCGTATGGATGCAATGAAACGATGAATTAGACGGAATAAACTGGTCTGTACACAGTATTGGCGATGCTGCAGTGGTCGAGAGTTTGTTGTGTGTGGCAAGTGTTCAAGCAAAATGTGCACTGCTGGCGACCGATCTTGTTTTTTGCTGCGCGTGTGGAAGAAAGCTGTAATGGTGTGTTGTGGGTTGGAGTCTATTGCTCGCAACTGCTGGAACGACAAAAAGCAATAAGCCAATATGTAAATATGTACGAATTGACAATAAAATACAGTACAAAGGCATCAATAGTTCGGGATGTTCTTCAGCACCAAGAAGTCGTGGAAAGCACTGTCTGGACGATCATAGACTGCTGTTGTGTATTCTATGTCTCTTTGTCAGTCAGATCCGGAGGTTCTGTAGTCATCGTACTGGCATCTTTTGTGGCTGGAGGAGTTGCCTCTGCTTGTTGAGATGCCTTGTGTGGTGATGATGCTTCTGCTTCTGGACTGTCTGGCTGTTGAGGTGTATAAAGAATTCGCAAGACTTGCCATCGACCTTTGCAGTCAAAAGGTGTTTTGTTGAGTGCTTTTGCTATGTATTTCCAACTGGGGCGAGATCGTTTGTTGAGTTTAAAGGCCGCAAGTTTTTCATCTTCACTGGGTTCCCATCCTCCATTGTCAGGATAGTGTGGTGAATCCGTGAGGAGGTGTGCTGGTTTGGATGGTGGTACTGGTGATGCAGGTGGTATTGGTGTGGGTAGTGGCGGAATCGGTGGAACTGGTGATGTTTGTGGAGGTGAATTGGGCGAACTGGTGAGAGAAATCGTTGTGATTGGTGGTGTACGCTGTTCCTGGAGGTCTGTATTGTTCTTGTGTTGGTGAGTCGCTTTGGACTTGTGGCGGTGTGGTGAAAACTGATGTGGTGAAGTGGGCGTATGTGAAGGAGAAGGTTCTGGTTTGCACTCCATGAATGGTTTGCCTTTGGCGGGAGGCGGACTGCGGCTGCGTGAGAAAGACGGCTGTGGTTGCAGTGGTGGAGGAGTGCGTCTGGCTGGTCTTTGGGGAGAAGGTGGAGTGGTAGTGAGTGGGTGATGTGCTTGTTGTGGTAGTTGCGGTGTAAATGGTGGAAGGTTTTGAAAAGTAGTAGCAATGGAGGTGGCTGCTTGAAGGTGTGCTAAAAGAAGTCGATGGGCAAATGCTGTGTCCAAAGGGGAAGTCATCATCGTGGTAGTCGTCGGGAGGCAAATATAGCTCGGCTGGTCGTCAGGGATCGAGCTCAATATTCAAGATAATACAAAATGGCTGCGGGGCAGGTTGCAACTCACAGGAAATCTTGCGACTCTCTTCGAAATGCTTGTGACTCTCTTCGAAAAGCTTGATAACAACCAGGAATGCTGACATGCTGCAAGTCTGGAAAATTGGAAAAGTGACCGTAAAAAAGATCATGTTGTCGGCATCAATCTGTACAAGGATGACATATCGGGAGAAAAGGAAGTTGACAACGATGTGGGAGAAAATCAGAGTCAATATCAATATCAGGCAGGCTGGCTGAGATTGTTTGAGGCTAGGTCGTCATCCAAGATACGGGGTGAAAAATGAACCTCGTGAGCTGAATAGATTGAATTAAATGAAACTGAGCGGTGGCTTTGCATCGCTTTTCCAAGCTATCCCTTCTATTCTGGAATGTTTGGGATGGGCCACCCAGCATTTTCCTGGGGTGTATTTTACAATCCCCTCTCCTCTGAGCAGCAAGTCATTCGCTGCGGATTCGCCACCATGAGTGACTTTCTGGCCGTGTCCATAGGCTTTGATCGTCAGAATGAGACCGCTGCGGTTCTTGGCCATGTTGGAAGCATTGAAGAGGACGCGTGCAGCTTCAGCAGCATCATGGGGCTCGTAGTTCGACAATTCGAACGCCTGACAAAAATATCCCACATTGTGATCATCATGCAGAATGGATCGCACGATTTCTCCTGCTTCAAGTATTGAAATAATGTTGCCCTCCTCGCTAACGTGTGCCGCAAAAATGTGTTTGATAGGTGGTATGTTCAGCGCCTCTCTCCGTGTAGGAGGAAGAATCGGAGCGTCGCCCCTGCTCGCTAATGTGGGGATTGTGAGTAGTAGGAAGGAATAATGTTCTTCTTTGTTGGTGTCATCGCTCCATTTTTTGTGGGTGAGAAGTTGTAGGTCGGTAAAGTGGGTGCTGTTGAGATGAGCTGCACTGAGCACCTTGGCTACGTAGGAGAGCATGGGTTCATTTTTGACATCAAGTGCTTGTGCGTAGCGGTTGAGCCATTGGAAGACATCCAATTGTGCTGGATCAGTGGGTGGTTGGAATGTTGGAGGAGGCAAGTTGTGAGGTCGACGTTGGACTGGAATTGCAGGTATTGGTGCTGGTGGTGGTGGTGGAGGTGTCTGTTTTGTGGGATGTTTGGGAGTGAAATGTGGGTTGGGCTTGAGTGTAATGCTGGAAGTACGGCGAGGTGGCTCTGGAGTGTGTTTTGCAGTAGTAGCTGTAGTGATGTTTTGGATGGAAGTGTGAGCTTTGTCTTGGGTGATTGCTGGTGATTGTGATGCTTGTCTGTCTGCAGGTTTGGATTGAGCTTGAGAACTAGCCACGGATTGTGTGGCGGAGCTTCGACGTCTTGGTAGTGGAGAGCGTGTGGTACGTAGTGATCGAGTGCGGCTCCTGGATCTGGATGTAGCTTGTGATGGTGCAATGGAAGGTACGGCTGGAAAGGCTGAGTAGCGGTGGTGTTCAGGTGTGCGTGGTGGTGAGCGATCTGGGTCGCGCCAAATGCCTCTTGTAGTGCTGAGTGTGGGTGCAATGGATGGTGTTGGCTTGGTAGTGCGTGGAATGTGTTGTGGTGGCGGAGGCTGTGCGGGTGTGTTGATGGATGCTGAAGCAGGTTGAGTAGTCGCTGGTGAGGTTGTTGAAGTGTAAGGTGGTGGTGGTGGAGTTGGTGTGGTCAACTGCTGTGAAGTGATTGTTGTTGGATCAGGTGGTGGTGCTTGTAGTACATCAGGTGCTTGTAGTGGTGGTGGTTGAAAAGATGTTGTGGCAGGGGTTTGATTTGTCGTGTGTGGTGATGGATGGAGTTGATGTGGTAGATGTGGTAAATGCGGTTGGGGAGGTAGAGGTGGTGGTTGAGGTTGAGATTGAGACTGAAGTGGCAATGTAAGATGTGTGTGAGCTTGGGATTGTGGTGATTGAGTTGTGAGATGTGGATGTTGTTGCGCAAGTTGGGTAGTGTCGAAGGGAGCCGTAGGTTGCACTGGAAAATGTGCTTGAAGTTGATGTGGTTGGATGTATTGTGCATGAGGTGGAGGTGTAATGGGCAATGGGTAGTGATGTGAGGTTGGGTGTTGCGATGGAGTCGGTGGCAGTGTTGGAAAAGGTTGTGGTGAAGCCTGTGGTGGAAATGGAATCCAATGGGGTTGTGTAGGTTGTGGTTGTGGGTGGATGTGTGGCGGCAAAGAATAGGGCCAGGGATACGTCATGGCTGCTCGGCAAGTCAAAGACAGTGAAAATATGTATGTATGTATGAAAATAAATAAAGGTCCGTGAGGTCGAAAAAGTTGTGAAGTGTATTGAATAACCGCAATTAAATTCTGGAAAATGGAATTAAAACTTGGAAAGTTAAAAAGATTTGAAAGGAATGAATGGATTTCCGGGTGAAACTCTTTCAGTTAACTCTGCAGTGGGATTCAGAAAGGATTTCAGTGAACTCTGCAGTAATCTTCACGTGTGCTGGGTGAGACGATCCAAGCTGATTTCGAGCAGGTCAAATTCAGTCTAAGGGACTTCAGAGAAAATTCAGGAAACTTACTCCCTCGGTGAGGAGTGAACAGGTTCTTGCGGTAACGGCGCCCCGTAGGGATCACACAGCTCACCACAGTGGGAAGAAGCTGCGAAGACACACTTGAGAAGGTTGCTCCGTGGAGCGTGATTTCAGGTAGCTTCGCGGTGTGCATTAGCCCTTTAAATCTAGATACTGCAGGAAACAACGTATGAGACGGCGTTGCACTGACTTAGAAATCTCAGCGATTGAAAATCAAAATTAGTATTAAAATTGCAGGTACGTGATCCTAGCGTCCCAGGATCATATCAGCCATGGAATGCAGCCCTCTTCGTTGGACAACCAACTGCATCCATGGGGTTGTCCCCCTGCTTCTGTACAGAAAAGCTGGTAGGGTAGATTAGAAAAACTAGAGTAGTGTCCTTGGAAACAGGAGTGGACACACACACTTACACATGGTGTGAGTTCCTAGGTAAAGCAGCTTCCCTTTGCAAAACAGTCTTGCAGCCTTGCACTTTGTGTGGTGCAGCCCGGTCCGACCACGGTCGGACTGGACTAGTGGAGCTTCAACATGTGTGGGGGGGAGCATTGGAAGGCCTTGTGCCTGAGAGGGACAGTGCGTGTGCCCTCCTCGAACAAGGAACCAAAGAAAAACATGGAACTAAGCATGGACCGCATGGATGTTAAATGATGTTTATCCACCTCCTGACTGCACATGAAAGTTCAATCATCTTCACCATCATCTATCAGATCATCCATATCCTCCTCCTCCTCCTCCTCGTCATCATCATCATCATCATCGTCACTCATTACAGGATGCCGCCAATGTACAGTACATTTTGCAGCAGCTTCGAGAAGCCTATTCGCTTGGGGGAAAGTCATGGCTGAACGTGCCGAGGCTCAAGGTCCGATGGAGGACTTGCCGTTGATCTTCTTCCCAAACAGCCTGCGACATGGGTGGCTAAAGAGTGAAACACGCCGTTGGATCAGTGAAGGCAGGATACTGTAATTCAAGTGGTTACTTGTGACCCCAAGCCAAGCGCTTTGACCGAGTGTATGCTTGCGTTTGATGTGAGGTTCGGTTTCACCCGTTTTAACACATAGAATCCACTAATTCTTCGTTCACACAGGTTCAACACCTCTCACTCATGTTGAAGGTGGCAATCCCCATGATCGTCATGTCTGGTCCGAATTGAAGGCATTTTCTCTTCATATGATGGGTGAGCTGAGTCTTGTCCATGTTTTCCTGTTTGGATGGACAATGTCTCCGAAGGATTTCCTTCTGACCCTTTCTGGGCAAATCAGGATCAGGTTACCCTATTTGCCTATTTGCACCTATTTGCCAACCTAGAAATATCAGATATGTCACGGTGTCATGCCGAAGTAAAGAGAACACACCAGTGATCAAACTAATGTGAACCATCGCGTGTTTTCCTTTAGAACCATACAAGATTCGAACCTATAAGCCGATAAACTCCCGTGGTAAAGACTAATGATGTGACTTACGCACAAATGCACACAAATGCTTGACTGTACTGTCCTGTAATTCGCAACCCCCAATAGAAACAATAGGTATGGACATCTGGAACCTTTTGAACACCGTTAGCAACAGCAGCTTTAAGTCCCACTATTGCGTTGCATACTGAAGGCACCCTGCCATACTTGGATATGCTATACTTCCTCAGCAAAGCTTCCCATGAACTACTATGACCTTCCGTTTTGCTTGGCTTGCGGATTGTCTACTTTAGCATGCCCATCTTGAGCTTCAACTCCTTCTCATTCTATGTTGTGACACATGCACACACTTAGCTTTCGATGACTTTTGTTCGCATGTTTGTGACTAGACCAATTATATAAGTTCTTATCCGCCGACCCCACACCGTGGGGTGAGGCGAGCCTTAAGCCTTAGCCTTAGACTTAAGCCTTAGCCTTATCCTTGGCCTTAGACCTAGTCCTTAGCCTTAGACCTAGACCTTACCTCCCCTACCCCTCCGGACCCTTGTTGCAGTGACGAAATCCCGACCTAAAAGCGACGTGATAGCTACGGGATTTGACGGGATTGCGACCTGAAAGCGACCTGGATTGTCCAAGATTCTGCCATCCCAATTGATTTACATCTTGGGGCACCCTCTCCACCCGTGCGGGAAAATAAGCACGGTCCAAAATGGTCCCGGGCTCGAATCCTGGGCTGGTCGCGGCGTGGTCCCGGCCAATGCCCTTGCTTTTTCGTAGATTTTGTCACGTTTTCTGTTGGATTTATGGGATTTTCAATGGCTTCTCCAGCATTTTCCTAGGAATGCTCTAGGCTTTGTCTAGATTTTGTTACGTTTTCGGCTGGATGCTTTTCCAAGAATTTTCTAGCGCTTCCTCTTGTTTTTAGGTTCCCAGATTTCCACCAAAATTGGTAACCTTTTGCTAACCTATTTTTTCCATTGTTGTACTCATGCCTATACGGCTTTTTCAGCATTTTCGTAGGAATGCTCTTGGCCCTTGGCTTTGTCTAGATTTTGGCAGGACCCCGCCCGCGACCATCCCGGGACCCAACCCTGCCACTACATTTTCCCTTGGGGTCGGCGGCTGCAGGCGGTAGCCTGGTAAATCCGGGCGCCGGCCAGGACGCCCGTGGCATGCCCGGAGGGCCTTCGGTGGTAACCGAAGGTTATAGACGGGCGCGCCCCCTGCCGCCGACCCTCGTCATCAAAACGGGGGGACCACCGGGTCACTGAAGCCCCTGTAATTTACAGTGTATCGTGTGTGTGAGGTATAAAAACACTGTGTTTTACAGGGTTTCGGGCCCCTCGGCAGCCGAGAATTTCAGCTCGGTGATGTCGAAAAAGGCAGGTTTTTACAGTGTTTTTGCTTTGCGGGAAGGAAAAAATCGTAAAACGTTGTATCGGAACCCAAGATCAACATAAATCGCCTAACATACCCCCAACATAGGCCCAAGATAGCCAACATATCCCCAACATATGCCCAACATAGCCTCCAAGATGGCTCAACATAGGGCCAACATAGGCCAACTTGGGGCCAACAGACGCCAACATAGGCCCAACATAGGCCCAACCCAGGCCAACATAGGCCAACATAGGCCTAACATAGGCCAACATAGGCCCAACATAGGCTCAACATGGGCCCACGATGTGCCCAACATACACCACATGGGCCCCACTTGGCCCAACCTAGGGCCAAGATGCGCACCAGATAGCTTAACTTTGCTCAATATAGGCCCCACCAAGGCCAACATAGGCGTGACATACGCCCCACACACCCAAGTGGGCCGGCGCCCGGCTGTTAGGCGTAAGCCTTGAAATATAAATAAAAGAGTTGGTCACCAGGTCTTCCCTGGAATCGTCAGCTTTCCGGACATGTATTGACGATCACTGGAGTCAAGAAAGTGCTGCAGGACTTGGAAGGGACATGCTTCCAACCTAAGAGCAATGGCCTCCAGCCCAATAGCGATTGATCCCAAACATTATAGTTCGGAATATAAGCTCTCAGCCATTCCATGGTTTTGCAAACTGCTGGGCTGCAAAGAGATCAGCCCAAAATATGTACTTAGAACCTATGGGCAGGACCCCAAAAAAGTGGATCCAAGATTCAACATGTCTGCAGCAACTTCTATTCTCCGACCCACAGCCCGACTAGTGAGTGTGCGCGTGTCTATTTATCTATATATATATATATGACACATTATTTTTTGAGCATTTTGCTCAAATTCCGGTTCTTCCAGCTTCTGACGACCATGAAACACATTCTCACCTTCTGGTGTGCTACCTGGAGCTCAGCGGTCAAGGCCATGACCGTAGCGCGCAAGTCCTGACTGGGTCGGTCATGGAGTCCGTGGATTCACGGGACGCAGTGGACCTGAGATGATGGAAAACCCTTGGGAATTCTCAATGAGCTAAACATCCCTGAAGAGCTCAAATGAAACATCCTCATCATCCTTCCAAGTTTTCCTAAGCAACATAGCCTTGCTTCTCCAAGTGCTCTGGATCCATCTGGCCCTTCCACCTCATCGGTCCCTGCCTCTGTCTCAGCCTTGGTCTCGATGGCCTCCGCACGAGACTCTTCGAGATCCCTCTGAGCTCGGGCGGCGAGCTCCTCTTCACCGACACTCAAACGCCTGCATCCGGTAGAATCGCATCGAGGGGGAAAAACCCAAACATGTCTGCTTAGAGGGTCTTAATGCTTGCCTGTTTATACATTGTAGTTTGGTCTTGCTTGTTGTACTTTGACATCATCGCAATGCAAAACATGAAATGCAACAAAAAACCTGTGGTGCTTGTTGGCTAGGCCCAGAGTTGAATTAGGCCTCTACATCCAAGGTGCATCTAGGTGCTAAGTTGTGCTACGGCCACCCAGCCGCTCAACAAAAACTCTTCGACCTGGCCATCTGCTGCGAGTGCTCCGCCTGCTGCAATCCTTGGAGCTTCAGGTGCCGAACTGGTTAGAACTTGTTGCAAGAACCGGCAGTTTTGTACTTTTTGTTTTCAATTTGAACTTCCCTCATTTTGGCACCGTAAGTTTTTGGTTCCAACCGAAAGGGTGTCCCCCTGACATCTTACGACTCAGGACTTTTGCAATTGTTGTCCATCCCTGCTGTGATAAACTTGAGTCGTTACTTGGGTGCCACAGGGAAGAGACAAATGGCCCCGTCACCGCTGTCACTCACCTTCCAGTTCTTTCCTCGCCCACCTTCATCACGATACGAAAAGGAGATACGAAAAGGAAAGGCTATTATCAAAAAACATGTGTTTTCATATTTTCTTTCTCCAATTAAGAGAGGCACCATGACTCTTTTTTTTCGATTATTGTGTTCTTTTCTTTACACTCTAAACCCAAAAATAATAAGAGTGATCGCAGGGAAGTCCTTCATGAAATGGAATCATTCCCGTTTTTTGGATCTCTTTCTTCTTTTCTTCTCTTTCTTTAGGGTGATTCGCTTTTTTAAGTTGTTAAAGGTCCATGTCTCATGGTCGTGTGTGTGTGTGCCCACACCTGTTTCTAAGGAACTTGCGTTGAATAATTCACCACCGGTGGAGCAACTTGCTCAAAGCAGGGGGGCAATGCACGACTGACAAACATTGCCCAACGAAGACGCTGTCAGCTCGTGGTGAAGCAATGCGGGACGCCGCATTGTGTACCTGAACCAACTGTTTTAATATCCCCATTAAAGTGCTAATGATTGCTTTCGGAACATTCAAGTGAGCGGACCCTTTACTTCTTACCGTTGCATCGAGTCAAGGTCTAGTTGCGTGTAAAGGTCTACCTGCAGTAAAGTGGAACTTCGTCAACTGATTTAGCTCTTGCGAGCATCAATCTAAGTGTGTCAACCCTTGGACTCAAAAAGGGGACGTTTAGGTTTTCTGCTTAATCAATTGCAGGGGGCCAAGGCGCGATATCACCAACCTTGACCAACGAAGCTGGATGGTATCGCGGGATGTGGGACCTGGCCAGTCCCACGTACCTGCATGGGGTTTGGTAACTAAATGAAACTAACATGCAACTGTAACCAGCGTTTTGCGTTTTGTGTCTTGCTGGTTTGAGTCTTGTCAGCCATGATGGCCTCCAACCTTGCAGCGAGGGCCTCCGGCCTCCAACCCTGTTGTGATGGCCTCCAACTTACCAGCGATGGCCTCTAATCTTGCCGGTTTGAGTGTTTGTGTCTTGCAGTTTTGAGTCAACGCCTCCAACCTTGTCGTGATGGCCTCCAACTACTAGTGATGACCTCTAACCTTGTCGCTGTGAGGTTTTGTGTCTGCAGTTCTGAGTCTTGTTTTGTACGCAAGCAACCTACTAGCGTTATAAAAATCTTTCATATGGTCAGGCCAGAATCCTTGATTAAAAAAAGTCGAAACAAATCAAATGGAACAGTCAAAGGCAAAAAAAAGTAAAATTGAAAAGTCAAAAAAAGTCAAAAGTCGAACAACATAAATAAAACGTAAAGCATAGACCGATCAAGTCAAAAAAACAGTCGAAAAAACAGAAAAACACGTCAAAATTAGAAAAACAACTCAAAAAAAACAAACGTAGGATCTGGGCAAATTGACTTTTTTGACTTCTGAAACTTTCTGGTTTGACTTATTTGTTACTTCGACTTTTGGGACTGACTTATATTTAAGCATTTTGAAATCAGGCTCTCTCCGACTCCAATGAACGATTATGTAAAATACTAGCAATGGCCTTCAACCTGTTGCGATGGCCTCCCATCTAGATGCGATGGCCTCCAACCTTCTCTTTTCGTTTTACCTGGTCCCTTAGGTTTTTCCTTAGCTTGGCGAGTGGCAAACTGCCATCCATTCCGTACTCATTTCCCAAGTGGTGGGGGCCTAGAGGACGAGACGGGATCTGATCCAAGAGGCGCAAGAGCAGCAGGGAGAGCAGCAGGAAAAGCACCGGAAGCAGCAACAAAAGCGGAAGCGGAAGCGGCAGCAGCAGCAGCATTGAAAAGCTGAACCAGTGGAGCGGGGCTCAGGCAAAGAACTCAGGTAGCCTGAAACATCCTGAAACTACCTTTCACGATGATAAACGTGTAACCTGCTGGCTGTGTGGAGGGAAATGCTGAAACCAGCCGGCTCATGTTCCACTTTCCTGATCAAACAATACGAAGCACAGGCTAGTTTCGCTCTTCCACTTGAAGGTGTTCCACCTGGAAGTCTTTCCTGGTGGCTTGCAACTGCATCTGCAGGCCGGAGAAGGCCTGCCAACACGCGGTCCAGTCTCACAAGACCAGCATCTAGCTTGGACTACAAATTAAGCATGTTTAAACAACTTTGGACAAGCACCTCCGCAGGTTCGAACATGTTTCAGTATCTGCACCAATTGAGGACGATTCTTCAGCACAAAATGGCAACACACACACACACACATATATATATATATAAATATGACAATCATTCATTTTGTTTTCATGGGACTTGCGACAATGATCAACGTTTCTGCGGTTTGTCAAAAGCATCGACTCTTCTGGACATTGCTGGTCAATGCAGTGTATCTTTGATGATCTTTGATGCCTTTTCCCTCCTCTTCCCCCTCATATCTCACGTCTTGTCGCTATCCAACTCTTATTGTCGCCATCCCATCTCCACCACTCTTCACCCACCTCCTCCGAGCCTCCTCCGCTCGTGAAGTCTCCTCCTCTGCTTGCCGTGCTTGGGCCTCAGCTCGCCTGAGGCTGAAGGCATTGCAAGCGGCTTCGGCCTGAAACTCCTCCTGCGCACAGGTGGCCAGCGTTCGCTCCTGCTCGGAGGCCAAAGGATCGAACGCAAACAAAGAAGTCACGTCATCAGTGACAGTGATGTGTCAATTTTGGTTAAATTGGCAAACTTTCTATAACTAGGACCTAGGACGTCCGCCATCCTGAGACAAAGCCACATGCTGCCGAACAAACATCGAAATCTCTCTTTCAACATCTTTCAGCATTCTGTGCCAATTGCGGTTTGTGCATTCTGGAAAGGGATGGCACCTTTGCATACTTTTGCCTTCCAAAGGCTGAACGAGTCAGCACTCCATGGACGATCCCCCGGACCATGGTCCCACATCCTGGCCTCAAGTCGCATCACCTCCATCTCCTGTGGCGATTTCTCTGATCAAGGACTGGGAGTTCGAGAAATCAACTCATCGGTCAACCATACAAAAGGTGGGGTCACCGACATGGAAACATCGGCCACGCCGCCACGCAGGCAGTTCTGTACTCCTTGGGATGGGTGTTCAGAGCGGCCGTCTGAAGAGCCCAGCTTCGGCACAACACGACCCGCCGCCCACGCCGCCCACACCTTCTGTGAGGCGAGAAGCTCCCCATGGAGCTTTGACACGTCTTGCTCCTGGGCTCCGTCATTTCAGGCTCGAGGCTCGAGATAGAAAGGGAGGCCATGGGAGGTCCACCCACAATCCATTTGAAACCCATTCTTTGTGCGGAAGGTCCCACGGGTCTGAGACAAACCAATCCTGTAGGCTTCGTTTGCTGATCGTGGGCGTACGTATTGTTGGCATGCGCCAATGTTCACCCCAATGTCTCAGCATCGAGAACGATCGAGAATAGAAGGGCCGTATGAAAGAGTTCTGAACTTGTCGTGTCTGTGATTACCTTTGCCCAATCAACCCAATGTAACTACCATCTGTGGTCGCTACTGTAACTTTTCATATCTTGAGATTTGCTAGTTTCACAGTTTCACATGACTTCTCTCTCTCTCTCTCTATGATGTTTTACGTAATTGTTTGTTCTTCTTCAGGGCCCCTAGCGCCTGTCTTTGCTGCAAAGCCTCTAGCTGCAAGTGCTTCACGTTGTAGGCCGCCTGCTCTTCCGCCATCGTTGTGGCCAACGTATTGCAGCGCTCCTGGACCACTTGGTATCGCAAGCGCGCATCCTGGAGGACGAAACCAGCACGTGGCCATCATGGAGTGAAAAACAAACATGGACCAGATTGTCATCCTCAGGGATGAGCCAAACACTACCGTGTGTGAATCCCCCAGCAAAACCATGCAACACCCCAGAGAGAAACAGTTGCAAATTGATCACTCTTAATGTGATCATACGTGATCTCATTGCTGCTACCTGCCAAGGCACAAGTTACATGTGCAAAATCTTAAACATAAGGAATATATAAACATGACACATCCCAACCTGTACTCCGAGCACATACACGACTATATATATATATGTACAGATTTCCAAGTGGGTCTCATGTCTGTCTCATGCCATCTCTGTTCAGCCCAAGTGGGTCTCCTGTTGCTGTTGCATTTCCGCCTCTTGACTCGAGACCTTGCTCTCGATGAGCCGTCGCTCCAGAAAGGCCAACTGCCCCTCCAGCTCCTTCCTTGGAACGACAACCACGTGGGTCCCTTGGACTCGATCGGGTTGAACTGGGATTCACCTGTCGACCTGTGGTCAAATCATAGGATGATAGAGGTGATTCCCAAAGAGGGTTCATGACCATCGTCAAACCCTGAATTCATGACATTTCATATCATTTCATGACTCATGACCATCTTTTACCCACGTCGCAGGAGCTCCAGCGGAGCTTCGCCGAGGTTCTGCTGCTGTTGCCAGTGTTGATCCCTTTCATGCAGTTGCTCCTGAAGTCAGTCGCTCGAGCCAGCATCAAACGTTCAAGCAAAACAGACTCCAACAAACCAAACACTCTGACTCTGGTTGGTGATTTGAACAGCGCCCAGTTACCATTGCTAAACATACTCCAAACGACAGTAACTCCTACAAACCACAGCCCAATCAGATGTGAACGCCTGCAGCTCAGAGCGCCAAAGACGCTCCTGCCGCTGTCGGCACTCCTGGAACGTGGACCACAATCAAAGGAATCACTTGGGAATTTGTCAATCTGAGGCACGAACTTCTGGTTTCTTTCTCTCTTTCCACGGGTTCGCACACGCCATACTTGTCCAAACGCACGGATTCCTCCAAGACTTGGCTCTCGAGCTCTGCAAGGCGTTCTGCCTGTTGACGACCTCTCGAGCTCTGGGTGGTGCTTTTGGAGGTAGGGTGGGTGAGGCTACTATGGGAGGGGGGAGATGGGAGGATGGGTGAGTAGGGAGGGGAGAGGACCCTAGCTTGAGAAGGGGCCTTGGATTGGTATGATTTGTAGCTGGTGGTGCTCTGTCCACCTCATCTATGATGTGAAGGTTCGTTTCGAGAGCCTCTGGGGAGAGAAACCCCAAACGAACTCGAATGAACTCATGTCTACCGCTACGACTTGGGGCTCCTCCAGGTCCGGTTTGGATAAATTTGCACTACTTCCAGTCATCCCTGTGCGAAAATGAACGTCTACACACAAAAAGAACCAGTCAGGTAGGGCAAAGCCCTGAAGAGATTCTACAGTGTTTTGCGGTTGATTAGATGTGTGTCATTCTGTTGTCAGCTGTTGCGTTTGTACCTGGTGTGTTGTCAAGTGTCATGTTTGTAGTGGCTATCTTTGGTGTTGCCATTCTGTGTGTCATTGTTCCGTCGTCTGTGGTCGTGTTGGTCCTCGTGTATTCTGACATGTGTCACTGTTCACGGTTGTTGTGCTTGGCCGCTGCGCCGGACTGGGTGGACTGTCTACCCTAGCATCTATCTATATACCCCAATCCTGTTGGGCGGGGAGCCAACTGAATCGAGGAAACTTAGAGATGGCCTTCGAGTCCCAGTCCTCCTTCGTCAATAAATCGACTTGGTGGGCAACAGCTCCAGGGAGAACGTGGCAACCACCCCCTTTACATGTCTGGTGCAAAACCTTTTCAAGGGCTTTTGCAAAATTCTACGAATTACAAAAAGTAGCTGGACGATTCACAACATCAGCCCGGCCAGCTTCTTACACACCTCATTGCTGGAAGAGAGCCTCTCTTTTCCGGGAGGTCAGTACTGTAGAGATTGCTGGTATTTTAGGAGTGCTAGGTTGTCTGCGCCCATGCACAAAGATCTGATAGATTTGATTGAAATCCAAGATTTCTGACCAAACAATGCAGATCGTGAAGCTAACATATGTGGGGGTTTCTCACCGATTTGCTGAGAGGCCATCCAACATGCTGCAGCCGAGATGCATTCAGCGATTGCGTTCCATGGCGCTGGCGGGTTGAGCAACGCAACGGCATTGACCATGACCTCCAAACGAGCCGAGCGACAAGCGATGAGTGTTGAGCCGACGGTTGATGCATGTTCCCTCGAGCCGGGGTTCGAAGACCAACGATTCAATGGTTCAACTATATTATATGTTTAACTAGGTGATTCTGGCCAGATCTGTTGGCCGACCATCCCCTGCAAACCTCCTCCAAAGTAGCAAGGGAAGGACAACGACTCTGTCTAGTTGGTGGTCCCACATGTTAGATCATCTTAACGCAAGCTCGACTCAACGAACCCTTCTGAGCCACACCACACTCTCAGGCGCGTAGACCGGCACAGCCGCACCAACGGCATCGCCCTCGTCTGGGCGGGCAGTGGAGGGTGGGCTCGGCGGAGGGTCGTCCTCAGTGGCGCTGCATTGCGCTGCCAATTGCATTTGGCGTTGGGAGGATGATTCTTTGATAACGATCAACTTTCGGCTACTGAAGGTGGTTTCTTACTTCCTCCACGGTGCAAGTGACTGATCCTCCAGGTGCACCCAGTCTGGGACGGTCAATTATCATTCTCTGTAGGAAATTCGGCCGTGTGAGGCGACATAAGCGCCGACAGCAGGATTTTATTGGGAAAGGGTTCTACTTGGAATCTTGAAAAGCGCTATGCACGCTCGAAACCGCTGGTTTTCCTTCGATCCGGATGGCTTGGGTAGTCATGCATGCCCTCCTGGAATGCACACCTTCGTTGTGCGTTCCACTATACATGGAGAGTCATGCGGTGCTCGCTGTGAACGTACTCAAGGTTCATCTCGGTCAATAATGTCTCGACTTGTGACCTGTCCAAATGCTTTGTACCGAGATCGGCAATGTTCTTGCGTGTGCCGACTTTGCTCAGTTCTAACTCCTGATTCTGTACTCGTTGTTGCAACCACAAAAAAGACCGATCTATATGCTTTGCTCTGCCATGTCCTTTCCTGCTCAACATGGCTTTTGCCGCCGTGGCATCAAAGCACAATCGACCTCTCTTGGTCTCACCAAAGTCAAGAGCCATCGACATTGCTCCCAATGTTGAACCTGCTTTCACACCTGCATAAAATTCCGACTCACCACTGCTCAATGAAATGACATGTTGTGTGCTGCTGTAAAACTTGAGAAGATGTGAACCGTGCATCAATGCTCCACAAGATGTTGACTTCCTAGTCTTTGTACAACCGGCATCATCGCTGTCAGTGTACATAGTGAAGTGCTCTTGTGCCAACTGTTCGGGATACTTCCAAATCAATCTAGGAGCACCATGCAAGTATCTCACCAACCGTTTCAAGCCATTCCAATCCGACCGACAAGGTTTTTTCATGGCCCTTGCAAGTTCCTTGCACGCAAAAGCAATATCTGGCCTGTCCAATGCAAGACAGCAACCCCTCATAGTCAAGCTTCTGAACCTGCTGCTCTCCTCTGGTGTGAGCATCTCCTCCTTCTGTTCAGATCTCTTCACGCCTGCTGTAGGGGCGTTCTTAGATTCAGTCAAGTTCAACTCTTTGACCAAAATTTGCACATGTCGAGGATCGGCCTCAATTGTTGTCTCATGCGGACCATAGTGTACAAGTCGGTTCAAGGTCATCGCGTCCTGCACATCACCTTCATCAGGCCCCAACATACCACCATCTTTGATCTCATATCTTGTCAACAATTGCTTCTTCAACCAAAGAAGATCATCCTTGCGGCCCAATGAAGTGATATCATCCCCGTGATCTGAAATCTTGATGTCACGAACACTGTGAAAATACAACACTGGACTCCCCAACCCTGGGGTAAAGCCTTGACTTGTGAAGAAGTCTGTAATCTCAATCTCCCATTGTCGAGCTGCGTCCCGGCAACCATACATGGCCTTGTTCAAACGGCCACAGTAGCCTTCTTCCGCAGCTTCTGGTGGAAGGCGGACATAGACTGTTCTTTCAATCTTGGCAGTCCAATGTGCTCTTCTAATGTCTGTAAACATCACTTTGTAACCTTTCTTGCCTGAACGTTGAAGTGACAATAAAACACGGATGGATTCCAAGGGTGGTGTAGCTGCAAAAATTGCTTCAACGCCACTGTGCCTCACCTCTTGAATGACCAACCTGCTCCGGTAATTCGGATGTTCAGCGTCACCTTTATTTATGTCGATCCAACGGGATCCGATGGGTCCAGCCCCAGTTCATTCACGGGTCCAAACTCCAAAGAACTAAGTGGTGACTTCTTTTGCATCTGTTGCTTCAACCCTTTCAAGATACGTTGCAACAGACCATCTGGAAAAATCTCTGCCTGCTTAGTTTTACCACCAATGAGTTGCACATGCCGATGCCACTGACTGTTGTCGTCTTTGTAGTAGAAAATGGTAACAATGTCACGTGGCTGTGCTGACAACTTTTGATGCAACTGTGAACGAGTGGCTTGTTGAAAATCCTGAAGATCTTGAAGCACTTCGTTTGTGTTGAGATCCATTGTAACTCTTCTTACAACTTGTTTCCATGCAGGTCCACCTTTCTTCAATGATTGCAACTGGTCTGTATTGAAATCAACTCGCTTCCAAATCTTGAGTTCATTGTTCACATTTTTGCAAAGAACATTCAACTGCTCTGCAATACATTCTGAATTCGTCATGAAGCCGGATGGTTTCTTCACAGCTCCAGCACCATGCTCATCCTCTGCTTGCATACCAAACTGACACATGTCCCCACGAACCTTGTAAACTGTGTCAAGCTCTTCAAGCTGTTTCATCGGATCTTCAATCCACGAGGTTGCAAGAAAAGGATGCTCATGCAAGAAATATTTCTTCCTGCTCATCTGCTTCCGGTACACCCACAGCAAAATGCCAGATGCTCCTTTGCCTCCGCCAGCTTCTGCACGTTGTCCCATGTATCTGCAAATCTCTGATTCAAGCCTTGCAAAAAACTGAATGGCCCACACGGTGGACAACCCACTAGAAGTTCTGGCTGTAACTCATCAACTAACAAATGGGCTGCTTGTCGTCTGCTTGCTTGTGTGAGGTCCCAAGGATTGCCCTCATGGTCACATGTCCTCAAGTCCAATGCAACACCTGCAATCAAACCTTTGTTGCGCCCAAATGCTGTCAACCGTGGCGGAGAACACACCTCAACGACAACTGGTTTCCGACCTCTCTGATCAATGCCGTAGGCATCATACAAACTCAAGCTCCCCAACTGCAACTTGATCTGTTGTTGCTCAATGAAATCACCAGGCAACATCTGTTGCGTTTCCAACCAAGATGACTCTCTCAAACAAGGATGGCACAAACCGTGTTTGCTCAATGAAAACAATTGGAGTGAACTAATGTCCATCACCTGAGCTTGCTCCTCCACCCATGCCTTCATCAACTAAGTCAGCTGCTGTTCCAGGCGGCTCCTCGATGAACTCTATGTCAGGAATGCCCTCCTGACCCGACACCTCCTCCACCAGTGCACCCTCAGCCCCTTTTGGAACTTTCGCCTCTGGTGGCTCATCCATGGACAGTTTCCTCTTTCGAGCTTCTGCCTCATCTTGCTGTTCCTTGAACTTGACCATGAAACGCTCTGCTCGACGCTCCATGCGCTCCACTTTGTCACGACCCTCCTCAGTCTGCAACATGGCTTCCCTGATCCTTTGTTTGCAAGCTGAAGAATGTTGTTTGTGACTCAATCCAAGTTTAGCTGCTTCACAACCATCACAACCTGGAGTGTACCCATATTCTTCAAGCTCAATGTCCCGACGGATGTAAATGCCTCGGGCCTTGTAGCTCTTCTTCCTTTTCACTTCTTTCTCCTGTGTCGCTTCCGCAGCCTCTAAATCCAATGCCGGCAAGTCAACCTCGATCTCTTGTGGCAAACTCTTTTCTCCCATGTCCTTCTTTGGACGTAGCTGCCACGGAAGTCCGATCATATGTTTGAGTAGGGAACAAACTTGCACTTGATTGTCCAACATCGATGAACTCCTGTACCTGTACCAATCCACTTCATGGCTGTTCCCTCCTGAATACACAAGAAGATGCCTTCATCAAACTTAGGATCAAGCTTGCTTCCAGATCTTTCACCTTTCAATGGCTGGTACCATACACACTCACCAAACTCTGGCGTCCTAACTCTCCACGGCTTTCCCGTCGAACGTTCAAATGGAGTTAACCCATCTGCACCTCGATTGTGTCTGCTGAGCAAGGCTGCTGCGTAATCAACCAACCAAGTCAACACTGAATGCCGTGGATGTATCGGTCCATAATGTCGTTCAAGTGCACTCTTCATAGTTCGAGCCTGGGCCTCAATCTTCCCAATGTAACTCTCAATGAGTCCATTGCTCTGTGACTCACCTTTGGTAGCATCTTCACATGATAACGAAGGGAACAAACGCTGCAACTCGTTTCTCGAAGCAACCAACGACCTCTCATTGTCGCTCTTCAGAACTCCTCCAAGGCATCCTGAAACCTTCAAAAGCTTTGAGACTGCTGCAACATTGTATTGATGCTGTACACCCTTCTCTGGCATGCAAACGGCATATGTTCTGCCGGCCTGTTCTTCTACCATGGCCAAAATGGGCAAACTCTGCTCTTCATCCTTGCCAAGATAAAAATAAGCCAATGCTATCAAAGGTCTCCGTATTGCTCTTTAGCGTCCTGACCCAGTCTCTGTTTCCGATGCGCCTCAGCCAAACCCTTGCCTCTGATGCAATCTGCGCACCAGCTCCTGTACGGAATGTGGCTGATCATATGTTCACGTTTCTCCTCCTCTGTAGGTCCAATAGGAACACGGAGTGCAAGTTTCTTTGAAGGAGCCTCCTGGACCTCATCCTCTAATTCTCTTGCATTAGATGCCACCACGTCCAAGTCTCCTTCACTCGGCTCATACTGCTCATAGTCGTCCGGAAGTGGCAACTCAGGAACTCTAGTGTGGCCTTGATATAGGTCACTGCGATCACTCACACCATCATCGAATTCAGGATGGGAACCCGAATCTCTCAACTCTTGTGGCTCCTCATCCAATGCATGCAATTCATAGCGGGGCCTTACGCCTGCGGATCTGCCGGGGCGCTGCTCCCCGTCGGCTGCCCGCAGAAACCCGTGGTCTCGGCATACGGGATCACATGAAGATACAAATTGAAAACTGCATCCTCCTGATACAAATTGAATGTATCACCCGTCTCCTTGTCTTCAATGTAACTGCGCTCACCCTCCGACTCCAAAACAATCCGATGCCCTCGGTTGCAAATCTGAGCTGCTGATGTCAACACCTTGCCAACTGCCGCCACCTGAAACACCATCTCTCTCAAGTGACCTTCTGACGTCATCACAATTGGCCTGACCTCACCATAATGCTCAACTGTCTCTTCGTTTGCTGCAACCAAAACTATCTCTTCCTCATCATCTCTAGCCAGCGCCGGGTAGTCTGGAAATGTTCCCGGGGGGCAAACCGACATTGCTGCTCCACTGTCAACATTTGAAAGCACTGCATACGTCTTGGATGCCAAGGTCAAATCAATGCTCTGCTCTGTCCCTTGTCCATCCCCACCCGACCCCGCTCCTGAGCCTCTTGCCCTTTTCGCATGCCGACTGCTCAATGCAAATAACCTCTTGATGCTAATGCCACCAACCTGTTGCTGAGCCTGAGACACTGATGGACCCAACACTGATGAACTGGCCGGTGACAATGCTCCAACAACACTTGATTGTGGGGATCCTTGTACAGCGTGCACTGCATTGGAACCACTGTTGATCCTCTGGAAATCTTCCACCGCTCTCCGTGCATACTCTGACTGCAACTGCGACAACCTTAGATCAACAGAATTCAACGGCTTTACCTTTTTGTTCCAACAGTATTCAGCTGTATGGCCCACTTTGCCACAGTTCGAACACGCTGACTTGTTCTTGCCTTTGCCGCCATCCTTGGATGATGCTTTCCCTTTTCCTTTGAAATCTTTTCCACCCTTACCTTTTCCTTTATCTTTGCTCTTGCCCTTCCCAGCTCCTTGACCACCTTTGGCCCGCTTGGGGCAGTCCTTGACCAGATGCGGTCCTCCACACTCGAAGCAACCACCTCCTTTGCCCGAGCTCTTCGACTGCAACGAACCAATGTCCATGCTGGTGGCGGTCAACGACTGAGTGTGCTCAATGTAGGTGAAAATCTCTTCTCGCAGCTCCATGTATGTTGCATACCTCTGTGCATTCAACTGAAGATGTTCCCTCAGCCGATTGGGACACATGGAAACTGCTGCGGCCATCTTGATCGCCTCACTGATCTTCTCTGCATGCGGCCTTGCCTCAAACTCTGTGATCTTTGTCTCCCACGACACAATCTCTCCTGCCAACTGTGCCAAAGGAACATTTGCTGGTGGGTTTGCAATTGTAGTCAACCCTGCTCTCTGTCGACCAATGGTCACCAGATTGAAGCGTCGTTGCAACAACTTCCAAGCCTCATACCCATTTGGTCGTCTTGCCTGCCTGACAATGTGGCGAGCCTCACCAACTGTAAATGTGATCAACACCGCATACAAATTGGAATTTGAATACTCCAATGTTGCTCTGTCAATGTTGGGAAAATGCAATGACAAATCATCAATTGAAACTTGTGCTGCCGGTTGTGTGTCCTTGATGTGTTCAAGCAACTCCCAAGTCCCTGGAATCTGTGCATCAACGCAGGTGATCACATGATCGCTCCAATCATTGAATGCGGCATACCCAGGACTCTTGACAGGATCATAGGTGCTTGGCTTTGAAAGCACCTTAGCATCAACTCCACCTTGCTGGATGGCATAGGCAATTGCCGGATTCACACCTGGCCCCAATCCTCCGAGCCCAGCTACCCCTGCAGGTCCGCCAAGGTTCAAATTTGGCGGTGGAATGAACTGTGCATTCGGTGCACCCGTTGCTCCCATAGGAGGGGTTCCAATGGTGACCCATGAGCTTGATGTTGCGGTGAACCTTGAACTCCGGGTGCAACCTGAGGGACCTGTGGCGGTGATCCGGGAACTGGTACCTGTGCTGCTGTCTGCTGCTGCATCTGTTGTTGCATACCTTGCAATGCTTGGGGCAAATTCAACACTTCCTGATGACTCTGTTGAATGGCGGCCTCAATCTGTTGTTGCATCAACACCTGACCCTGTTGCATCTGTTGAATCTGCCCTTGTGCATCCTGCTGGTTCTGTTGCATTGCAGCCTGAACCTGTTGAACAACTTCCTGAACAACACCTTCAGTCACCTGTTGCGTCACACCAACACCGTGAGCTGTGGTCCCAACTGCTTGTTGCAATGTGTCCAACGTAGCTCGCTGTTGTTGCTGCTCAGTCGCCATCGCCTGCAACATATTCACAATCTGACCCAACTCGGGGGCTCCTGCTCCACCGTTCGCAGCACCATCCGCCATCAGAACACTGAAAACAACTGGGGGTAAATGCAAGTCCAATCAATGTCAAAAATGCAATGATCAGCTTCCAACCCAATGTCCAAGTTAACAATGCCCAGCTTGTACGGATTGCGGTTCCGCCTTCTCGGCGCGTGCTGGCGATACCCCTCAGAAGGATTTCCCCCGACTCTGCTGAACGCGTCACAAGATTGCCTCGGGGGGAGAATCCTCTGCGGCGCATCCACCGGCCAAGTGACGGGCTGTTGTTCAAGCGGCCAGCTCCGCTACCATGAAAAGCGCTATGCACGCTCGAAACCGCTGGTTTTCCTTCGATCCGGATGGCTTGGGTAGTCATGCAAATCTTCAAAAAGAAACACTTTTTTGTCCTAGTGGTGTACGCCCTGGTTAGCACTCACCACATCATGCAAATGAACTGCTGCTGTCGTCCTTTCTAGCTTTCCAAATCTTTGCCTCTTGTACATCCGGCCAAAAACATCCCGGCGGATCTAAGACCGCGCGTGCGTTTTAGCACGCCAACTTCAGAGGTGTTGCAAATCCACTGCAAAAAACAATGGAAAAGAGGGTTTGGAACCTCTTGTAAATCGGAAATTCTGTGTCCAAAACTTGGACCAAAATTCGCTTGAAACACGAAAAAACCTGAGAAAACACACATGTTCACCGATTCGATCGGAACCTTTTCACAACGTCGATCGGTCCAGCTCAGTGTGCACGCAACGTGGAGGCTGTCACTGTGAATATAAGTGAGAAGAATATAAGTGAGGCACAGTGCAATGCAGAAAAACTGATTGATCCTGAGAGCCGCAGTCAGCAGCAAGAAACAATTTATCCGCGCACAAACATTCCAGAACATGCCACCGCTCGAAACAGGTTTAAAAAACATGAAATGCATCGTGAAGGCAGCCATGCTCACACAGTAATGAAAACTGTTTTGCCGAGAAAAATATTCACATGCACAGAATTATACAATATTATACATACATATGCAACGTCACAGGAACGTCAACATGCCCCCCTCCACCCCAACCCCCCCCCACCCCGTGCAACGTCAACAGCATAGCACAACGTAGCATCCAACCCAGTGTGCAACGTCACAGGAACGTCAACATGCCCCCCCCACCCCCCCCCCCCCCCACCCCGTGCAACGTCACCAGCATAGCACAACGTAGCATCCAACCCAGTGTGCAACGTTAACCTATATGTGTGAAACGCAACGTCAAGATGCAACATAGACGCATACATATATATGGGAAATTGCACAAAACATCCAAGAAGCAAAAAACGCAAAAACGCACGTACGGTTTTAGAGCCGTTAGCAAAAACATGGCACAATATCATTACTTCCAGTGTTCGTGGCTGCCATGGCTTCAATGTAGTACGCTGGTAGCCCATGGTAGGACCAAGTTTCCTCCAATTGAGCATCCGGCACGACTTCAAGCAGTGTCTCTTCCACTGCTGGCGGGGGTGGTCTCGAGGCCGCTGTTGACCTGAGCCAAAAGACTCGACAAGAAATCAAGGTCTGGCTGGGAATGCTTACTTCTGCTTGCCATTGTCTGATATGGACATTCAAGTTGGGCAAAGTCCATGCTACTGGTACAAACGGTCCTGAAACCTGAAGCTGGTATCTAGGATGCAAATGGATACAGTAACTCGGAATTGAAGCACTGCCACTGCCACACTAATTTCTTGGACAAACCACAATGATGCTATCCGCCCTGGTATTGATCTGACACATCTACTCTGAAGACTGCTCTGAAGGTAGAAGTACTCCAACGGTCTGTTTCTGTAGAAACGATACATGCATTAGGCCCCACATCCCCAACTCTTTTGTAGGTACTAGCTACCTCTCCCTTACTTAATTAAGTAGGCACCTACTTATACAACTAAGTAGGGAGGGGGGAGCCGGCAAAAAAGAAAGGCAATCCCCTACCTTTACTGACCGTCCAGTCACTGACCATGCAAGCTTTTGCGCATGTCTCATGTAAAGATGGTTAGGTTCCGCCCACCTTTCCCAGCCCTCAAGTCTTTGCGGACAGCTAACGGTGCATGTCCGTAGGGGCAGCGTGTCAAGGGCTTGGCTTCGGCGCGCACACGGCGGGCCATGATGGTTCCATCTAATGGTGAAGCGGCTCTAGCTTCCAAGCATGATTTCTAGATTTAAAATCATGTGAAAAAGGCACACTCTGGACTTCCAAAATGCACTGGGGTTATCTGAACAGAGATGAACAAAAAGCGTGACAATAGGTGTGATATGGTGTGATTCACGATACTTCCTGGCACCTTTACTAACTTCCCCCTATTTGCTTAGAGTAGCAGTGGTTGGCAGTCTTTGTGGAAGCTTTCAAGTTGAAGAAGTCACCAAATCTGACCATGGACGCACATGCAGGAGGCGGGGCTTGCAAGCCCCTGTGCAGCCTGTAACCCCACCACCAGTTTCCAGGGGAACACCCGACATCTGGTACAATTGGATTCACCAATGGGTCTCATATTTGCGAGCCAAAAACTCCACTGACGCGAGTGCTGAAATATGCTGAAATACCCATGCAGCTGACTGTTGAAACCGTTTGTGCATCCCTGCAAATACATTTCGCAAATCCAGGTTTCACTGGCTGGGGATGTATCGGGAGGTTGTGCCAAGCCAGAAAGGTGTTTCGATGGCCTTTGGGCTGCGACTCTTGTGACACATCACCTTGTGACTCCAACGGTTCAATTATGTGAATATATATATATATGTGTATACAGTATACAAAAGCTGCTAAAGTGTTCCTCAGTGATCCTCACTCACTCACTCACTCACTCTCTCTCTCTCTCTCTGGGCATGACTCGTCTGGAGTCGTCTCGCAAAGACGCCCAGCGGCAACTTCCCCTAAAGGCCGGCGACCAAGGTCAGACTGTCACATTTCTTTTGACTCCTTGACCGCATCATCCATGGCCAAAAGATCCACCAAACTTCACTGCACTTAAAGCGGCAGCGAGACTTGCTTCCAACTATGTAGGCCCGGCACACTTTTTGACAAGAATGATGAGGACTGCACTGGATCTAGATATTCTATGGTGAATCAATTGATCTATATCGCACATACAAACACAACCCATGCCATCTTGGCCGACCAGCTTGGCCGGTCAGGGTCCAGCGCTGCCGCTCTTGGTCGCCTCAGGGCGAAATGTCGGAGAAGCCACCGGAGCTGGTCTCCTTGGATGGGCCGCAGGACACCCGGCACCGATGACAGGTCGATGGTTGCGAGTCATGCGTTGCCTTCACCCATTGAACCCATGCTCAGAAACTAGAGAAGCCTGATTATGTCAAGATAACCAACAAGAAGGGGCACGGTCACTCATGTCGACTCGCCACTTTGGGGAACCCTTCGACGAGAACATCACACGGAAGCACCCCGCGAGCCTGACATCAACACTCTTCCAAAGGGCCATCCACTTCCATGCTTGTGCGGAGGCTACGGCGAGGGGTAGGGCTTTCCACTTGGGACACTCCTTTGCGACTTTGTTCTGTGGCAAGGCCCATTTCCAATTCACTACCATCTCTGTAGCCCTTCGCTGCGGGGTCCATCGGGCAGTCGCTGCGAGGTCGCTCCACGCGCCTGGCCAGGCGAATCCTCGAGCCAGGCCGGCAGCTGCAAAGACTCGTCCGGCACCGAGCCTAAGGACCTCAACACGGGTAGTGCACCCGGTGGGTGTGCAAAGGAAAGGTCAGAAGAATTGAATTTACTGTAAGGATCTATAAGGAACTCCAAATGCAAGGTACCACCTAGGAAATTGGAGCACTGCCTTTGAAGATTTTGATGATTTATATTGAAACTGAGGGACGTGCAAGTCAAATGGCAAAAAAAGATCACCTTTCCACAGCATCCCAGGCTCCCAGGTCCTTGTTTCCAGTCCGTGACTGAACAGCCGTGGGCCATATGGGCCGATAATTCCTACGTTGTATTACGGTTCGTGTGCAAAACATGCATGCTTGCGACAGCCAATGAAGATGAATTGGACGGATGGGTGCCCAGTTTTCACCCTCAAGGGCTAAAGCTAATGATGTTTTCGCCTCTGCTTGGGCCTCAGGGCCATAGGGTGAGTAGTGGGAGACGACGAAAACGCGAGATCCGAACCAACATGCGAATCCCAGGAGCAAGCTGGGATTGCTCTCCCTCTCCCTGTCTTTGACACGCTCAGGGGAGGCATCTCTGGAGACACTCTCCTGGCTGGTCCAACAAGGATTTCAAAAGCAATTGATGCAAATTATGTGTCAGGACCAAAGGGACACCCCTACAAAAGCTGACTTGAGATGCCACTTTCATCCTTACTTTATCTACATATCTTTTTGGACTGCTCTCTCTCGCTCTCTCTCTCTCTCTCTCTCGCTCGCTCGCAAGCAAGGCAACTTTGTGAGGCGCACAAGAATCTGCTCACACTTGTGCTAAAAAGCGGAAGCTATCACCACCAAAAGCCACAAATACCGCCCACATGCAAGAAACCAGCTTGATCAAAAGGGCATCCCAAACATTTCCAGAGTATGGCTGTGGGACAGAAGCCCGTGCTCCACCAGTTGAATAACGTGCACCGTGCAACGGGGACCGCTTGCAAGGGAACAGTTCTTTCTTGCGCGCAGGCTAGCCCATGCCACACAGACCTTGACTATTTGCACACGCACAAACAAAGCACCGCACAGCATCAACAATAATCAACTTGCAGTGAAATGGGCAGGGGAAACTAATGATGGATGAACAAATGCATATACAGTTGTATATACATATATAATGGTATAACAAACCTATTTGAAGGCCGATTGAATCATGCAAGCCAGCTCCAGCTGGACCTGCAAACCCTTCACCATCTTCACCTTCTCTGACTATAAATAAGCTCCAGCTCCTACGACGCAGCAACAACAGATTCCTTGAACACGACAACCGCCGTGCTGGACCAGGGCAAAAGACCTTTCAAACCTCCAAAAGCCAGTGGCTGGCTTCCCCGACCTCCGAGCTGCTCGGCAGCGGTCCGGTCATCTCAGAGCCCGGCACCAGTGCCTGCATGCAGGAGGGTTGATGGATGCTGGTGAACATCCTAGTCACAACAACATCTCACAACTGATGCTCCTTTTTGGGATTGAAGCGGTGGAAGACTTTTGACTTTGGAAGCCTGCTAATTGTACAACGTGGTTAGGAAACGATTGAAACTTTTCTTGCCAACCCAACTGTTGAGAATCTGTCCATTCTTTCTCTGTACGACGAATAGGTAAGTTTACACAACTTGATCAACGTGTTAGTTCCGTTGTAGCGTGGAGCGGGAGCCATGCCAGTCTAGAGCTTTTGTTGGCACACCTTCGGTCCAAGTTGCAAACGGAATGTCGCCCTCCTCGGGTTCAAGACACATGGATACAGATCGTCAAAGACTTGCATTCTGGGCAGCACAGCTCTTGATTGACGACAATTCACCAACCTGAAAAACTATACAACCTTTGCAGCTAGGCAGCCTGTTGGTTCTGGTGGAGGATCTAATTGTACAATCACAGATGAATCTCTAACAGCCCCTTTGACTATAACTATGATTGATTAAATGGTCATGTCTCGAGCACAAGGGGAGCCTTTTTTGTAGATCCAGGCAAATTATAATCCAAACGCAAGCGTGTCTCGATTGGAAGCAACTGTGGCAGCTCCGACATCACTCGGCGAAGCATCAGCTGCCTCGGATGCGTTTGCAAAAGTACGCCAAACCTTGCTGGGCGCCAGTGGTATAGTTGTCCACCTTGCCAAGTGCTATGTTCGAACGACCCCAAAACTATGCAAATGCACAACCAGCTTGAACCAAATGTCAGGCCAAAGCGAATATATTCACGCAGGAACACTGACCTTACGGAGGAATTCTCGAAACATCTCGAAACTGTGTGGTCAAGGGCAATGGGCAGACGCTGGGCACCTTCTCTCCCTCTCTTCTCTCCCAATCGCTTGCTCCCGATCACCGTCTGGCCTGCATTCCCTCGGGCTGATCGCCGTCGGAGCTTCATGACTCACCGGCCGCAGCAGTGGAAGCATGCTGCCCGTCATCTTTGGACGGATTGGCAGGGCCATGGTGGAAAGAATGCTTGGGCAGGAATGACATTTTGGATGGTTTTCTACCAAGTACACTGCCCACTAGGTGCTGGCCAAAGGGTATAGTTTGGTGATGTTTAGCCTTTACACGGCGTCACCCTTCGCCGTACTGGTAACTAACGCAACCATCGGAATCTGGACCTGCTCAAGACCACTGTCATCCACAAGCAAATCATTCTCCAGGTCTATGTCAATGACCGGAAGGGTGCTTGCCTCTTGAGACATTGAAGGAGCCAAACCACCAGAATGACCGAACCCACATGATGCAATTACAATTCGCGCGATCTAGCCGCTGTAAATAGCCGCGGTCTCTGGGCGCTTGGCATTTGACACTTGGAAGTTGAAACTATATCGCTTGACGGCCTTTCTGAATCCTCTTCCAGGTCTCTGATAGGCTGGGAAAGTGGAAAGCACACCAACGATAAAACACACTTCCGATTCCATACCTTCCATGACATTGAGTGTTAGCCAGTTAAGTTCGGAGGAACCTGGGCACCCACAAATTCAAGTTAGCCGAAGGATCAACAACATCAGAAACAAATCTATTGTACTAAAATGTTTACTGTATACTACATACACTTTCCCTTATGAATGATTGATTGTTTGACCCACACACCCATCTGTACATTTTTCGGATCTGTTGTGCAGTGAATCCACCAGCCGTCTAGCCAGGCAGCGCCTCCGAAAAATCATGATGGCTGCTAGGCAAGTCGGTGAGATACCATCGTCCAGGTTACCCTCCATGGAGCAAAACCGACTGTAATAATGAACAACAAAGGGAACTGTAGCCGCAGCTTGTTCAAGCTCAGTCTGCAACTATTGGCTCCTCAGGCTCCGCTCCTCCATGTATCAAAACAAAAAAGCTGCATTCCCAAACAGCCAATTAATTTATCCTCTCCTCTCTCTTGCTCTATGTATAATGAAGATGCCTGGCTGTCATGGAAACACCAAGAGGCGGTTTCACCAGCAAATGTGTTCTGGCCGAGAGACTGTTGCCGCAAGAATCGCCGTGAGAACTTGGATAGCCTTGGTGCAGGCGATGCGAGTAAGTAGTAGTTGCAGTAGCTAAGGTGCCAAGCAACAATGGACCGCAACATGGCAGCATGACAGCATGACCATCCGAACCCTCCCCAAAACGAAAGAGCGATTTGGACTTGAACTCTTGAGCTGACTGAGCATCCCACCCATCCATCGGTGAGGACACCTGCACCTGATTGATCACGAATCTTGGTCGTTTCAATGAATTTTGATGTGTTTGAAGTTCAGGATGCATACTGCTCATATGGACGAGGATTCAACATCTCGGGTTGAAATGCCTGAAAATCCCATTCCAGGGGGCGGCACGAAGATGAATCCTCTCCCTCGGAAAATGCCTACACTCCACATGCCCTGGTCTCAAAAGCTGCACTTAATGGAGCCTTTAAGCCTCTTGTGGAGGGCCCCGCAGCTGTCCTCGCTTCACTTCGCTCTCAAACCCAACAGCTAATGATGAGCTGCTAATCCAGGACAACAACGTATCTTTGCATGGGCAGTAGATGCTAGTAGTTGATTGATCGGAAAAGCCATCAAGGCCAGAAGATGAGAACTGATATTATTTATAAATATATGTGTGTATACAGGCATATGTATAAAATATGTATACATGTATATTTTATATAATATCAATATGTTCCTCAGTGCACGGTATACAGGAAACATCAGGAAACTATGGACATCTTTTGTTCAATGATTGTCACATACCGCGGATGGTCATATAACCACCGCATGTGCGCTGGAACTGTATACCCACACGGTCTTTCTAGATTTGCACCATCACCGACCACGATCAAACATCCTTGTCATGCTCCAGCACTCCATCTGAAAACCTGAGCTTCAGCTTCAGAACTTGAAGTTCATTCCCAAATACACCAAAACAATAGGTGCATGGGCATGAACATCCCGTGCCCGGTGGGATGTCTGGGATATGCTCAGAAGGTGCCCATTCCCTTGTCTTTCCATCCGGGCTCCAGCGACCTGGCCCATGAGGGCATTACTTGTCTTTCCCATGAGCGGATAAAACTTGTGCAATTTAGGCTCTTTTATTGAACGTTCATTGTTCATGAATGTTTTCTGACAAGGGTCTCACGAGTTCGAAACACCTTGAATTGCGTGCAGCTTCTTCGTCACTGAGCCCCGGCCCTGGCTAAGCTAACGATGTTTCATCACCGACTAATGGGAGAAACATGAAGAAATGGTGGCGGCTTCCTCCAAACAGGTCTGATTCCCATCTCCCTTTTGGCGCGAAATCCGCTGCCCATTTAAAGCTGGCTTCAGTGAAACGGCACCAAAGAGCGGCCGACTGCGGTGACTGTTCTGAGGCCATTGCCACAAGCAGTCCCTAGTGATAAACGGTGAAACAAAAAATGAAAGTGGGTCAAACACTCAGCAAAAAATGCACCAAAACAGCACATCCTATCGCAACTGATGAGCTATTTCCAGTAGTGACCCATCCTGAAACGACTCATGGAATTGTAGCAGGCTGATGGATGACCTTTCCATGCCATCCCAGACAATCTCCCAAATTACCTTTAAGATCTTTTAACAATATGAGGGCCATAGGGCCCATCACACACACACACATATATATATATATATAACCTCCGCATACAGCATCTCTTGGAACATCGTGGGAGGAAAACAAGGCCCTCCTGCGACAGATTCTCATGTTCGGACCATGGTGCCCGTCTCCAAGCTACAAGGCCTGCCATCCCATGGCCGTTCTCGTGCTAGCATTTCAAAATCAATTGGCGCTGGTCTGGTCAGCGGCGGAAGAAGGAACCTGACACACGAGGTGGCTCGCTCCTCGATGCTCATCACGGACGACCGTGACATCAAAGGCGAGTCACAACTGCTTGCATCTAGTGTAGACTCTTGATAGACCCCCCCAAATGAAGAGGTTTGTCAATTCAAATGTGGGGGGTTAGTAATCAAGAGCCTCCCCTTCTTTTCCTTGTAAGATCCCTGTTGCGCACCAAGACTCTCCTGGCCTTGAACGACCAAATCATATCACATGCGAGCCATGTTCTTCGCTGACTTTTGATGGTCAGTTGCTTCCTCCGGCGCACAAATCCAAATGGCTGAGCCAAGCCCGGCAGCTGGCCCTCACCACGACTCTAAGCCCTAACAAAGGTGAACACTTACAGGATGGCCCACACAGGGGCATAGACCCCTACAAACGAAAGGCAAAAAGCCTGGCACATGTCGCCATAATTACCTTCAACATTTCAGTCACCGGCCGCTAAAATTGAATGATTAATACGAGAGTATCCAAGATGCTGTGATGCTGCGACCCTCTTGAATGCCTATAGTTACCCTTGTTGGAACAAGCTCAATTTACGCCTTCGGGCTCACCTGGCAAGTGCCAAGGCAGACTGACTTTGAGATTCCCATGTTGCTTTCACGAAAACCGTTGTTTAGTGCAACTGACCCTGTGGATGCCATACCTCGTGTTTTCCGCTCCTCTTTCTTCTGGGGAGCCCTCGTTGGCAACGTCTCCTTCTTCATCAGGATTCGGATTCTTGCCTAGGGCGCGCGTTGTTGATGGATCAAAGTGAGAAGTTCGACTGCTACTAAAAGACAAACCAGTTACAACTGCCTGTTTGCTAACATGGAAGTAGAAAAACCCTCGGGCCACACACACACATATAAAATATATTATTCTGTATTCATACTCCAACTGTTCTCTTTCAGTCAAGAAATCGAACCACTCGTCCACCGGCGTTGTTGTTGGTGATAAGAAATATCGCTCACTTTATACTCATTTTTTAGAACGGGGCACCTTCATTGTACATAGACTTGAAGGCACTGGGGAAGAGCGTCTTGATAAACTCCATGTCATCAATCGCCTCGGCGGATCTCGCGGATGGAGATCGAGAGGCGTGGCCGGCGTGGCCGGGGCCGGCGTTGCCGGGGCATGGGTATCACCATGGCACTGCATGGGCAGCTAACCGCTAAATCTGCTTTTTTTCCAGAAGTCCAGCCAGGCGGAGGCGTTTTTGACGTTACTGCGAACTGGAGCAGGACGAACAAGAGGAAAACCAACACATCATAGAAAATCATCAGAGTATGCTTTGGCATTGCAAGCCCGCGTGCACCAACCAAGGCCAATTCCCCTTGGCCGCCAGGAAGCACACTCACGCCAAGTATGTTCCCTGAGATCGAATGTCCTCTCAACTATTGACATCTATTGACTACAGTGCTGATGACCGCACGTTGCGTACCCAATGCCTGCTCATCCCACACAACAAAGTCAATCGACAAAGGTAGCCTTCAAGTCATCATGCAGAAAACACAAGTAATTATGGAGCAGCTGGTGGAAAACCACACACTTGCCATCCAAGGAGTGCTCATCTCCCTGATGTACTGGCCCGCCCTGGACATTCCGCCCATGTGAAGGAAGTTACCCCGCTGCCATCGTTGTCGAAGGCTGCGAAAACGTCATGGGCGCGCTCGTCCTTGGCTTCCACCTCCAGCCTGGGCGGTGGGCAATCCAAAAACTCAGTGGGCGGCATCTTGGCATGTGTGTGCCGTATGTTGCCACACACTTTTCTTTCTCTCTCCTTATCTTTCGATTGCAAGCAGTCAGCTACTTGGAGGTGTTGTGTTCAGGTTTCTTGCCCCAATGCCCGCACATTTAGTGCAAGGCACACGTGCCGTTCGGCTTTGGAGGTGTTTATCAGTGGACTCACTGGACTGCTGATGACTGCCAAGTGCTTCGCGTATCCTTTCTTTAAGATCTTAAGGCTTTAAGCGACTTGTGACACCTGCAACGTCAATCCCTGGCAAGAAGCTGCTGAAGCATCTGCCCTTAGCAACCGGCTGATGGCCATGAGTCAAGGTCTTTGATCACGTTTCGGAGACAAACCACAAAATGCAAAGGATATGGCTGTTGGCTTGCCAAAATT